GTAATGAAATTTCATAACACATGTTATTAAAAAATTGACAACTTTCTAAAAGAAATTTGTTTCGCTCTAACCCTTATTGCATCAACTCCTCAACCAACTAACGGATTTTACAGGCCGTAACCATAGTAGTTTACCGTATCTTACCGGGATTAAATTTCATGACAAATTTATTAAAATTAATGTTTACTGCGTAATGAAATTTCAAAAACATTTTTAACAGTGAAATCGCGAGCGTGTTCTTGTCGGTTATCGACGGCCCCTCCCGTTGCGATAGCTACCTTTGTGACTGCTGCCCGGGCGCGTTTTTGTCTCAGTGTGCTCGTCTCTATTTCCGCGCGTCCTCCCCCTCCCCACCCCCCTCCCGCGCCGTGACGCGTCGCGTGCATAATTGCCATGGAGAAGGAAAACAACGGAGCAGCAGAAGAAAGCGATTCCGGGTAGTGACCGACCCGTCGGACACATCCACGGCCTGGAATAAAACGCCTTGTTATTCGGATGGAGAGGTGGGTCGGGGGGGAGGGGTGCGGGGGGCGTCTCATCAGCATCTATAATGGCTCAGATGAACAGCGCGCATTCTTACTTATCGGGCGTGGAGCCACCGTGGCCGCTGCAGCAGCGAGTAGAAAAGGAATAGAAAGGCAACTCAAGTGGCTAAACTTGGACCCTCACCGGCCCGCACCGGCCTGTTTGTAGGTCGAAGGTCGTATAGGAGCTATGCGATACAGTATGTGTGAGTGACTTCGGAGAATTTCGCGATTTCGCAACGACCCCACTTCATAAGCTGATTATACAAAAGGGGGAAAATCTCATGACTACCAATTTTAAGATCGCGTTATGTAGTACAGATGTGTTCGGTGCGAAGCACCTGGCTAATTAATCACCATTGTGATGAGCGAGTCGGGCGAAGCACCCTGACCCTTACCGAGGAATGAACTAACTTAAACCCTCTGCGAATGTTCGGAAGGAGACGAGGGTGGGGTTCAGGAAACGACTTGGCTGCCACCTGTAGCGAGCGTGCCCCGATGAAAGGGCGTAGCACCCAGGAGCGTCAACACGAGGCGGGGGGGGGGCATCAGTGCATTGCTCTCCCAACCTTCGGGGACTAACGACATACGTCATTTAACGCAAGTTTGACTATGGGTTTTCGCTCGCTTTGCTTGTGAATGTGGTACAGCATAACTACGAAAGTGCATGGCGCGAGTCAGTCACCTCGGTACCCTTAAATCCACTCACATCTTAAAAGTGAAATGAGGGGCACGAAATATTATCGCCCTTATGTAGACGACTTGCACCGGGTGGCTGATATACTGTAATCACACGTACCGGGTGATTCAAAGACGACGCAGGTGCGTGCGGGTTTGCCTACCCAAGGGGCTGGCGCGTTATGGGCAGAGCGGGTAGTCAAACCCGCCGGCACCTGCGTCTTCTCTGCATCACCCGGTACGAGTGCGAGTGCGCTTGCCTATCGCTCCTGTCCACGGCGCCTCTCTTTACGGGTCGAGCTGTTGTAGCGAGCACTAGAGGCCTTTAAATATTCGCGCCAGACGCAGAATGCAAGCTTGCGATCCGCCTCTCCAATGACCGCACCCCGCGGCTCGGAGCGTCGCGGAGCGTCAAGCCACGGCCATGGGAAAGGGCCGACGCGGTGACGGCTCATTATCAGTCGCCCGTATCGTAAGCTAGTCATCATGGCCATAAAACCCAGGCCTCAAAAGACCTATAAGGTATTCGCAGCGGAGCGAGTAGGCAACCCGCCCGCACGCAGGAATGCGGTACTGCATAACTACAGAAGTGAGCGGGTTTGTCAGCACCCTCGTATCACTGGAAAAACTAATGACGTCTCACGTCAATTGATGCGGCCAGTTTAGGACCACCACGTTTTCTGACACATGTCACATTAGTTTTCCAGTGATGTAGGCAAACTGCCTAATTACCGGTCTCTAGCACGGGAGTATAAGGAGAGCAGGTGACCGTTTTGAGCTCGAATTTGCAGTTAGTCTGACATTTTTCACAGCGGAACCACCCCTGCACCGTTCTGGGCTGTGGGTCGGTCCGGCGGGTCCAGCGGTTCGGCGGCTTTTCCTGGTAATCGGCGCATGATGTGCCATCAGCAGCCCGCCTCCGTAAGGGCGTCGCGTATCAATTAGAACTGGACCTTGTCGTCGCTCCAAACAAACAATGGGCGGACATCAGCGGGCTACCGGAAAGTCTTTGTGCCGCCAGTGGGGGAAACAAAAGGCGAAAACAAGTCGACAAAGTCTGTTCTTTGAATGAGCAGAGGGCACCCGTGGGGATAACACACACTACACCCACTCCTCGGATTGCACCACGGGGGCCCCGGGTGCGCCGTCACACTGTCACGCGCGTTTATTGGCCACAATGGAGACAAAGCAGAGGGCCCGCGTGACGCCCCTGCGCGCTCCTGGCGATGGCCGCGTAGTGCCGCGTCCCGGTGCGTCCTGAAACGAATCGAGCAGCCGAGCTGGAGTCCCAGAGCGGCAGGGCACAGCAGTTTGTTTGCATTCGCAACGCGACTCGTGTCAAACAGCTCCCCGACGGGCGCATCTTCGTGGAAACTAACATGCCAAGTGGGTACCGCGCGGTACAAGGGAAGCCCCCGGTGTTTGTGTCACTGGACGGTGCCGTCACGCCGCGGGGTTGGCCTGCTGCTGCGCGGCCGCGGCCGGGGGCTGGTCGCACAGCTCGCCCTGCGCGCCCTGCGGGGGCGGCACGACCGGAGGCTGCTGCTGTTGCTGCTGCTGCTGGGACCCCCGTCGCCGCCGCTGGGGCAGCTTCCGCCAGCAGGTGCTGCAGAAGGGCCGCTCGCCGCCGCCCAGGGCGCGCTTGATGGCGCGACCCACCATGGACAGCCAGCCCAGCTTGGGCATGGCGCGCCCGCACTCCGAGCACCTGCGCACGAGCCCCGGTCCGGTCAGTCTGTCCGTGCAGCTGCCCAGCTGGGCTGTCCACTCGCCCACCTGTTCCCCGCGCTGCGCCCCCGCCTGGCGACGCGGTTGGACGACGAGCGCCTCCGCTGTCCCCGCTGGCCGGACCGCGTCGTCCTGCTCGACCGGCGGCTCCCGCTCCGGCCACGTTGCGCCGCGGACGCCGCCCCCGAGCCGCGAGCGGGCCGCCCCCCAACGCGCAGACCACGCCGCCCTGGAGGACGCCCCCGCCCCCGCGGCCGCCCCCGTTGTCCGCCCCCGCGGGACGCCTGGCGGCTGCCCTTCTCCTGGACATTACGAGGTGGTGGCTGGTCGGCGGACTTGGCCGTGTCGACGAAGAGCTGATGCCAGACACGTACCTCCACCGCGTCATGCCGCGCTGTCCGCGGCCTCTTGCCGCCGGGCTGTCCGCCGCTCGTCTTTCGCTTGGCACTGGTCTGCTGCTCAGCGATCACGGGCTGCTCCGCGCCGGCCCCGTCAACGTCCATGTCAGAGCCTCCCGAGCCCTCGGAGTCGCTGCCGCCTACCACCTCCTCGTTCTCCCATATGACCTGCAAGAGCTGAGCTCTAGGAAAGCGCCAGGTATCTCGGACATACCCGATCATTCTGCGCCGTACGGACCTGTACCGAGCTGTGAGCGCCGCCGGCCTTCTTCCGGGCGTGCTTGGAGGCGGCGGAGCGCAGCCTCTGCAGCAGGCTGCTGCTGCCCTTGCGCGCCCTGGGCGCGGCGCAGCGGCAGGTCCTAAGGCCACAGTCGAAGGGCGCGCCGCAGGTCACGCAGCGAAGGAGGACGGACGAGTCCTGGTGGCTCCTGCCCGCCGCCGCCACCAGCACCTCCTCGGCGGGCGGCAGGGGCGCGGCCAGCGCACCCGCGATCAGAGAGCGCACCTCCCTGGATGGCCAGGCCACCACGCTCCCGTGCGCCGGCTGCGGCTCGCTCTCGGGCTGGGGCACAAGGAGAGCATGTTTCTGGCCGGCCGTCGTCATTCGAAGTGACCAAAGGAATGGCCTAGGAGTCCTCACCTGCACGTCGAGAGGCTGTGCCAGGGGCTGAAACTCGTCTAGCATCAGGAGAGAGCTCTGCTTGTGTTGGACGGAGGAAAGCAGCCAGTTGGTCAGATCCTGTAGCTGGTCCTCAGCAATCGGCTGCGACAAAGTTACACGGAATGTTCCTGGGCCGTCTTTTTCATTGGAGAGAGGGAGGGGGGGGAGATTTGCTCGTCGTTGGCAGGTGGCGAAGCATTGTATGACTAATGGTCGAGTACACCTATCGTGCGGTGGCTGTACTCTTTGTTTCGCGGTAAACATCCATCACCCCACCCAGCAGCACCTGTTCGAGATGTTGCGGTGGCGGCAAGGGCTCCGCCATGAAAGGGTACATGTCCCGCAAGGCGAGGGTACCCCCATTCTCTGGGGTAGAGGGGGCGGACGGTGGCACGTTGCTGGGCGTCTCCCAGCAGTGCAGGCCGTATGTTGATCTGTTCGAGCAATCCGCGGGAAGGAAAAGGAAAATCGTAAACCACCCCATGTTTTCTCTGAAGGGTGGCGTGTCGTTCGGAGTGCCAACGAACCCGCTGCCGGCGGCTGTTAGAAGGCCGCTCCCGGCCCAGCTCATCGCCTCCTCGGGTTTGGCGGGCGCCCTCTCCATGTCCAGGGCGATGTCTCCCCGACTCGACGGCTCTGCCGCCATGGCGACGGGGGTGTCGGCGCCCAGCCCGTCGCCGTCAGGAGCGAAGGCGTCCAGCCAGCCAGCTGCGAGGGGCCGACGGCACATCAGGA